TACTGCTAATGGTATTGGTAATAATTGGTAATAATTGCACCTTGCTTCTAATGGTATTAGTAATAAGTTTTGCCATTGTGACATTAATCATTTACAATTAACTGCTTTCGTCGTGTTTGGTATGGACGTAACTACGTCTGCTTTGCTTTTTCTTCTTTTCTTTATCTTGTTTGTTTATTATTATTCTATGGATTCTAAAATTAAGGATGTTGATGTAAAACTAGTTTAAGCCTTTTTTTAAATAAATTTAAAAGATACGTCAGGTGAAGTATTCATTGTACAGATTATCTTCTTAATATCCCTATATATATAAGCTGCGAATCAAATAACAATACAACTTCAAACTGACAATTCCGTCAGGCTTAATGTCGGTAAAAGGTCGGCCCTCTGACTGCATCTGCTTGATATATATTTGCGTTTTGAACTACTTCTTGAACTAACACTTTAGGCTGACCGAAAATCACGGAAACCTATAAAATTCAAGAAACCTTCACTAGCCTGTCTTTTCTAATTGGGATTTTATTATAAGGAATAAAAAGAATAAACATGCATGAATGAAAACGTTCAGTTGTATTTATTCACCGACATTAAATTACGAGTAAAGAACCTACTAGCTTGGTTGACCAGATTTTTCAAATCGTAAAACCGAACACACATAGAGTTTCAGATATTAAAACTTGAACCCTCCCTTTTCAGGTAAAATTACAACCCCCCCTCCCCAATTATGTACATAATATCGATTATCAAGTGAAGGGCCCGGCATGGCCAGGTGGTTAGGGCGCTCGACTCACAATCTTAGGGTCGCGGGTTCGAATCCCCGTCCCACCAAACATGCTCGCCCTTTCAGCCGTGGAGGCGTTATAATGTGACGATCAATCCCACTATTTGTTGGTAAAAGAGTAGACCAAGAGTTGGCGGTGGGTGGTGATGACTAGCTGCCTTCCCTCTAGTCTTACACTGCTAAAGTAGGGACGGCTAGCGCAGATAGCCCTCGTGTAGCTTTGCGCGAAATTCAAAACAAACAATCAAGCGAAATGGATATTTTTATTTACATTATAGCTCTTACAGTTACCTCTCTGACGAGTGAATGTTTTCGAGCAACTTCTTGCTGGTCAGAGGTTTGTCGTGTGTTTATTGTTAAGCACAAAGCTACATATTGAGCTGTCCGTGTTCTGCCCACTGCAGGTACCTAAACCAGATTTAACGCGTTATAAGCTCTCAGAATTACTGCTGAGCCGCCGGGGGCGAGTTTGTCGAAACATTCTGACCAACTGTCATTAATATTCACACTCAAGTTCCAGTTCACGACTTAGAAATTGAACATCGGCAGTGAACAGCGCGTACCATTTGCGTTTAACTATCTTCGTTTTGGCAGGTGCAAAATCACGTGCACATTGATGTATGCAATAGTAACATCACGTTGTCTGCTGCAGCCTGCCTTAGAGCCAACTTTAGAGGAAGCAGTAAAGTCCATGTTGAGTTATTTCAGGATAATTTCTGTAATCAATTTAAAAAAATGTATGCGCTGATTCATGATTGTTACAGCTCAAAGAAATGAATAGAAGTATTCCAAAACTTAAATATTAGTTACAAAAACGAAAACCAGGACATTTTGGATCTATCTGAACACCGGACAATATCCCAAAACCCCACTAATAGCATATACTGTCCTGAGTGCTTTCATATCCACTCACTCTAAAATCTTCAACACAGAGGCGTAGCTTTCAGGTGTGGCTTAAATATTAGTTACAAAAACGAAAACCAGGACATTTAGGATCTATCTGAACACCGGACAATATTCCAAAACCCCACTAATAGCATATACTGTCCTGAGTGCTTTCATATCCTCTCACTCTAAAATCTTCACCACAGAGGCGTAGCTTTCAGGTGTGGCTTAAATATTAGTTACAAAAACGAAAACCAGGACATTTAGGATCTATCTGAACACCGGACAATATTCCAAAACCCCACTAATAGCATATACTGTCCTGAATGCTTTCATATCCTCTCACTCTAAAATCTTCACCACAGAGGCGTAGCTTTCAGGTGTGTCTCACACAGAGTGAATAGAACTGGCCCGACTGATACCTAGAGTACCTGTCGCTTAGAAGTATTTCACGCCCCAGCTCTTACTCAGAATTACAGGTGATATAGATCTGTAACACGCTCGGTTTGAACTTCTGAAAACTTAAAAAAAAACACAAAAAAAAAACATTTTACTGCAGGCTATTATTGAACAAACAACGAGATATGTTTCTAAATTTAATTAATCATATGAAATCCTAGAAATCAAATGGTTCCTCAAACCTAACAGATATAATAATTAATATGCATCAGAAGTTAAAAAAACGTATGTGAACAAATAAAATGTATAAAAATCGAACTTAATTATACCTAATTTTTACATCCCACTATTCGTTGGTAAAAGAGTAACTTAAGAGATGACGGGGGGTAGTGATGACTAGCTGCCTTCCCTCTAGTCTGCCCACCCCCAGTGGCACAGCGGTATGTCTGCGGACTTAGAACGCTAGAATCCGGGTTTAGATACCCATGGTGGGCAGAGCACAGGTAGTCCATTGTGTAGCTTTGTGCTTAATTACAAACAAACAAACTCTCTAGTCTTTCACTGCTAAATTATGGACGACTAGCGCAGATAGCCCTCGTGTAACTCCGCGCGAAATTCCAAATAAAACAAACAAACCTTATTTTACATTATTTGTAATATTCACTTCGTGTATATAATACGTTTAATAACTTATGTTGACGTTTAAATGATACATCAAGAATGATACGTGTATACTGAAAAAGATATGAGCCGTACATATATCTTGCTCGTTTGGAACATATTTTATGTGCTTTGAATACTTCTGTAATATGCATATGTTATATGTAACAATGTACATGGAAATAAACTTAATGTCATCTGAACATTCATTGAAATAAATTAAAGAAGCCAATATTCGCGGACGAATGCAACATGTCTCCGCCACGCAATCCCAACATGGCCAATTTTCACACCAGAAAAAATCGAAACTATCTATATCACTGCTTGGTATGTGCAAGCTTTGCACCAAATCCCACGTAATTTGGTTGACATACACATGAATAGTTCAGGGGAAAACCCCAAATTATACTTTCCTTGCTGAAAAAATGAGTAAAAGATGAAAATTCCAAAATTGTCTATATATCTCTGTTTGGGACCTGCATAGAGTCGCTTTGTATTAACGCCGATGCAAATTGGCCGAAATACAGCGGAGTAATTGTCAAAAAACAACAACAAAAATTATGCTTTTTCTGGTATATTTAATTAGATTTTAGTTAATTTTTTTCTTGGGGGCAGCTCTCCCCCCCCCCCCCCCCACCTTTGGGCCCACAGTTTGATTATAGCGTAGCCCACCAGTTAGCGGTGGATGGTACTGATTAGCTGCCTTTCCTCTAGTCTATCTCTTCAACATTAGGGATGACTAGCACAGATAGCCCTATCTATCCTAAAAACAATGTCAAACAAACTTCTGAAAACAAACAAACACACTTAAATTCCTCTCGGATAACTAAAAATAAATCCCGAGAGTAATTGAAGTTTAGAGAAATAATCGGGTCAAATATATTACTTTCACACATTAACTGCATGTTTCCGTTTTCAGTCCAAAACTTCCTCAGTAAATATGATTTAGATTTTTCTGCCTTCTTGGTTATCATCGTGGTTAGACTTTGTACTAATTCATTTTGTGCTTTACTTAACACTGTACAAAATACCCAGTATAACGCCTACCAGATTGAGTAGGTTGAAATACTTGTTCCGAAACGAAATGGTAGTACTTGATAGACGTCTGGAACATCTGGGCGTGACGAACACGTGCATGGAAACAACTTATCTACATCAATTAGCTATGATATATATATATATATCTGTGAATGTACGTATGCATGAAATGCATGTATTTATATAATTACCAGGATAACTCTGTTAATAACGATGTTATTTTACTTTTATAATAATAATTTCTCCCTTGGAAACGTGTTTGGGGCTCCCCCTTCTTAGTTTTGTGTATGAATGAGGATATTTTTTCATACTGTAATTATAAAACTAACAAGTAATTACGAACGGATAATTTTTTATTATAATGTTAATATTTAGAGCAAAGTTACATTAGACTATTTGCTGTGTCGACCGCGGTGAATCGAATTCCGGATTTTAGCGTTGTAAGTATGGGGACTTACCGCTGTCCCCCAAAAGAACATTTAAAAAAGTGATCAGTCCAATTGCTCTGAATTGTAAAAGCATTCTTGTAGAATTTCTGATTATTGAAAAAAACACACGCAATTTCTTAGAACTTGAACTTTGACATGCCGTTGACCTAGAACTTGAACTTTGACATGCCGTTGACCTATCGGTCCAGCGGTTCGTCAGTTATAAGCGGACACACATACACACAGACTGTTTTTTTTTTTTAAATAATGGTTTAGATATGCCTATGTGAAAAACATAGAAAAGCCTAATGAGACCATTTTATGATCTTCTAGAATATCAATGCCCAGGTTAAAGCAGTCAAAATATTTTAAATAAAGTTAATAAGTAATTAAATAATCAACTGGAAGTTATTAGCTGATATTTTTCCATTTTCAGTTTGTACTCTTTTTATAGAGAAAAGAGTTTAATCCACCTTCACAGAAAATGATTTTAAGCTAATAAATTGAGGTCGTTTAAGCTTATAAATTGAGGTTGTCTTTTATTATTTCTCAGTGCATTTATTGTTTATTATGTATTATGTCGTCACTGATCGTATATGTGATATTCTGCCAAACATTCATATAATATCGTTATTTAAGTTCACATGTTCCTTTATAGACAAACGTTTTTGATACTAGTACACATACGTTACAAAGATAGACGGTAGGATGGATAGATAAACAGATAAATAGCTAACTGGTTATTTCATCTAACTTTTTCACTCATTTTGAATTGATACAAACACATTTTCTTACCTCTTCCACTTCTTCCTACAAATCTTAGATCATTAAACTTTGCTATTTGGTTTTTCATTACAGCAGTGGCGTTTCGTAATTCGGCACAGAAATTTTCGTCGTTTCCTGCCCGCACTGTCACAACAGTCCCATCAGAAACATCCGCTAGGGTGATCACCTTGAAAGCTTCAGGTAAAGTTTTATTGGAACGCCAATGTGACGGTAAAATAGAGCAGAGCACGTTAGGACTACCGGTACGCACAAGCTCACCGGGATGTTCACTTAAGGCGTCATTCAAGGCGAGTTCTCCCGGGAGTGCTACGTTCGTCATTTTGGCGCTGGCATTTCCCGCCGAAGTACCACGCTCTCCGGGCAAATGCATAACAGTGGAAATATGAGTGAGCGACACTTAGAACTGATCGTAACGCGCTACGTGAGTGGTAAGCCGATGTAGCATGTGGTTTACATAACACGATGCGTTGGCTGGACGCGTTGTCAAATATCCATACACCTACCTACATGAAACTGAAACCAACTTACAGTATGGCGCGCCATCTTTCGGAGAATAATGCCAGGATACTGCAAAACCAATTGGCTGTTGTGATTAATAAATACGTGGGTGTTTTGTTGCGCACATCAATACCACGTTTGCGGTTCTTATAAGTTGTAATGAGTTATTTTTCTCGGACTTTTCTAAGTCATTGATTAATGGTTACCGCTGTTATTACAAAACACAGATTCACAAGCACAATTCAACTAGAAGATGGTTTGTATATTACCTATTTCTTCTTTAGAAAACTATGCAAATTCAAACCAATCTATGAAAGTCATATTGATTGAATTAGTAAACAATAAACTACTGTGATATAGTTTAATTTTATGATAACTAGATTTATAAGCGATAAATAAATAACCCAATTAACAAAGCAGCATGTAAGCACTTCATTTAGCTAATTAGAATATCGTTTCTAGCTTAAATAACATATGAATGATATACTCAACTAAGAAATGTACTTGTAAACAGTGCATACAACTACGTGACGACTCGGTTACTGTAGTTACTGATATCCTGTGGCATCGAAACATCACGTTGCATTTGACAAATTCACGCGCATTTTGTTTATTAAATATCGTCTCCTAGAACAACGCCTCCCGGTAAGTCAATGGGCTTATGACACTAAAACTCGGGTTTCGATACCTGTGGAGGGCAGAGCACAAATAACCCAATGTGCAGCTTTGTAACAAACAAACAAAGCTAGAGCAACATCCTAGGATAATTGTCTCAGCTTATTAAAATACAGAAACTCAAAAAGAGTAAACATTTTGAAAATTAAAGATATATGCTTTGGGCAAAGGAACTCGCCAGCTCACAATGCTTCGATAAAATGAAATTTCAACTGATGAGCGTCTTATGTTTTCATAACGTTTTTAAATTCATTAATATTTCAATTATTAGGCCTAAGATAGATAAAGTTTCTGTATTTTCAAAATGATAAATATTCCCGATCAGTAACAGTTCAGTTTATGTCTTAATCAGTTCTTTAATTATTTGCGAAAACAACTTCTATATAGATTTAATACATTTCTCAGTCTTAAATACACACACAGCTTTTCTCGACCACAGAGTTGTCAATTAGTGTGTGCTGATAGCACAGCGGCAGACCTGAGGATTAATGACTACACAAGTCTTGAACTGTTGGTTTTATTTTGCCTATGTTTAGTTTAGTTTGTTTGTTTGGTGTTAAGCCTAATGCTACACAATGGACCATCTGTGCTCTGCCAACCGCGGGTATCGAAACCCGAATTTTAGCGTTATAAGTCTCCGAAGCTTACCGCTCAGCCACAGAGAAAGGGGATATGTAAACAGTCAAACGTTCCAACTCGTAACTCAAAATTCTACAGACTTTGAGAGCAAAGGATAAAAATCAAAGAAAACAACAGTCTCAGAGGATATAACGTCGACTTCAGGCGAATTGTCATAGCAGTAGTAGCTTAAGTAACAATAAAAGCAAAGAGCAAAATAACCTAGAATTTCATAACCAACAGCGTGTTCTTTGGCGAACTTCGAGCTTATTGTTTTATAACTTCCATCAGTATGAAACCATAGCTAAAATGCATAGAAAAGAAATTTGTAATTTGAAGGATTTTTGTGGTGGGTGAAAAGGCGCGGGAACTAGGAGTAGGGCAGCATCTACTGGATTGAAGTTCAGGGTTACTGCGCACCTATTGGTTTTATTAACATATTTTAATATAATAATAACAACTGAATACATAGCTTCTAACATATACGAGGTTTCCATTTTTGTTAAATTACTTACAGTAACACCGCTATAAAATGTGTTCTAACGCCACTAGGTTGACCAATCATTACTCATTGGTAAAGAATTTATTATTTTGGAGGATGGGGTATTCTGTAATGAGTGTAATGAATAACTCTTTATTACTTATACAATTATAATGTATGGTTTTGTGGATGAGGATTTTACTCGATTTCGAACGACGAACTTGACGCTAATAGGGGTGCTGGAATATCTAAATCCAACTGCTATTGTATCATTTCAAATTAGTGAATGAGTGGTTTCGAAGTACTAACTAGTAATGACATATGTGGAAAAAGAATTAAATGTAACTCTTTGTGTCATTTTAAAACATTAACCAACAAGTCGTACACACAAAGAATAATAAACTTTGATCCGATTTTGTTAAGGTTACTATCTTCTTTTGTAATAATGAATATATAGCGAGGTTAACCGTATTTTATAAAAAAAACAAAACAAAAAAATTTTTTTTCAGGCTCCTACAAACTTCCTTCTCCATCTTCAGCCGTGCTCAGCCCAATGAACATTATTACGTGTTGTTGCCCAACACAGTAGTTTCAATAGTAGCAAATTTCTGCGAAGGATGGCGAATATTCTAGAAGATTCGCTAGTGTGTTGCGACAGCGGGAGTCAATTGACGCTGGTAGCACGTGTTGAGAGTCTTAGAAGTTTCTAGAACAGGCAGTATTATCGTATATAAGTGCGCTAGACAGTGAAACGAGGCAGAGACGGAGTCGAAGCAGTAGTGGAGAGAGACGGAGGCAGAGAAGTAGCGGAGACGAAGCAGGCAGAGAGAAAGAAAGACAGCGATTACGGTCGGCGGGAACTGAGGATAGCAGAGATCGGAACTATAGTTTGCGGGGACGGACAATTAAGTCTAAGCGCGATAGAAAGTGA